TGTTCCTACAAGCCAAATCTGATGCGTTTCCAACAAAGTCAAAGGCAATAACTGCTAAACTGTCTATCTGATCGTTTCAAATTTTAAGCTTTACTGAGATCTCATCAATGTACATGCATACTAAGTTCATTAAGATCGGATAAAAACTGCAGTCTATCAGGCCTACAAACCAAATTTGACGCATTGTATCAAGTCAAGGGCCTCGTTTCTCAAAATATCTTATGATCAGTAGTAGGTCGTAAGTGTTGATTTGATCCTAAATGGCGTTTCTCAAAAAATCGCAAGATCAAATTTATCGTAAGTCTACAACTAATTCTGGTGTAAACTTACGAGTGATCAAAGCTGTCTTAACTATCAGGTGGTAGAACCAAATGGTCTTTTTTTCACAATGTTTAACTGTGTTTAACGGGAAAAAAGGAAAATTCGACATCAGATTTGATCCCCGAGTGTCTTTGACTGAGCAGGATATTGTGGCACTGACCATCTTCTGTTTTTTTTTTTTGTCCTCGTCTCAGTTGAAAGCCGCCATTTTTTTCGCTTCGGCGATGACAGCAATAACATCATCATTAAGTTTCATTGACTGTGGAAATCAAAATTTCCGAGTTCTTTAAATTGCAATGAACAATTACCTTTGAAAACGGTCTTGCCAAAATAGGCCAACAGACTACTTTCTATGGCTTTATTCTAAAATTTAGCTTTATTGAGATGAAGATTTCCCTTTTACCAGAGATATATTTTCTTGTCGTCTCACCTTTCATGACCAATTTGTCATCTGCTACTAAGTTGGTTTGTCATACGACAATTTTTATCGTAAGATTATTCGTGACACTTACGATAGCCTTTGAGAAACGCACTTAATCGTGAACTTAAGACAATCGTAAGTTTAATCTTAAGTCGTACGATTTTTTGAGAAACGGGGCCCAGAGTAATAACTCCAAAACCATTCATCCAATCATTACCAATTTCGAACTTGATTGAGATCTATATATACATTTATACAAAGTTTCATTAAGAATGGATAAAAATTGTAGCCTTTATTGTGCATACAAGCCAATACTAGGTCAAGGGCAATAAATCTGAAAGTGTTCATCTGATTATGACCAATTTTGAACTTGAACAACATCTCATCAATATATACATGTATACCAAGTTTTATAAAGATCAGATAAAAGCTGTTACCTCTATTGTGCCTACAAGAAATGTGGACGGGTTGACAGGGGCGACAGCAATGTACGTCAACATTTCCATGCGAGCGTTTAAAAACTGGTTGAATACCAAAGACCTCAAGCAGTTTCAATACTGGTGGTCACATGGGATGGCATCAATACAAACTGCTCAAGTTCTCACTTTAACTTCATATTTTACTACATACCTTATACCACGTGGAAATGAAAATTAGTTGAAAATTAAAGGAGCTATCTCTTTTTCGTTTTCAAGATCCAGGGGGTTAATATTTGTTAATCTCTGCAAATCTGATCATTTACCTACATGCCTAGACCGAAACATCTGTCTCTATTCCAGCCTCTGATAGCTGTTTAGACAGATGTCAGCTGGTGTAGAGACAGAAACAAAAAGCCCTGTTCAACAGGGACACTCCGCATATCCGTAGGGGTTTTAAACCTATTTAGCTACCTGGGATCTGCAAAACCCAGGTATATATGGAAAGATGAATATTTTTTTGTAGTTCAGTCATCATTTTCTCCCTATACCATTTATGTCATGTCTTTGGCTCCATCAAAGTTTTTTTGGCGAAACTGATCTAGCATCAGCCATTTAAAACTGCGTGCACAGCCATAAAGGTATTAAGGTCACCTGATACTAATAAAAACGAAATTTACAGCGATGCCCAACACTAATTTACAATCATCTTAAAAGTTATTCAATATTATGTTTAAAAAAAAAACATATTTGGAGGTGTGGAAAATCCCCATTTAACCGGATCTTTTTCTTCTGACTCCGCTGACAACTGTCAAAATATCCATCAGAGGCTGGAATAGAGGCAGATGTTTCGGACTACTACATCGCAAGAAAATCAAACAATAGGAACTCAAGTATTTCAGTATGCAAAATTACAGGGTTTAATATCAGGGCAGATAATACTATACGCATACAAATACAAATACCAAGTTTTATCAAAATGGGATAAAAATTGTATATAAGGATACTTTCACATAGAAAGGTGTGGGTGTGTAAAAAACAATAACCAATAAATTAATATTACTCATAACACAAGCCTCAAAAATGTATTTCTCAAGCCTTTAGGCATGCCAAACAACATTTTTGAATTGGGATAAAGATGTCGAACAATCAATAGTCGGCAATTAATGGAACCTATTTTAACTGTTTGTAAGAATTTGCTAACAACAAACAATCTAGATTTTAATTAATAAATAGAAATAAAACCCTTGTCATTGGTCATCGCAATTCCTTGTAACATAAGTGGATAAACTAAAAATAAAACAAGGCAGTAACCTAAAATAAATGATAGTGAGGAAAGACAACATTCTTCCAGATTGTATGATATATTTAACATGTTAATACCTTTTATTACCCTGTAGTAGCCCAGACTAAAAAAAAAACATTTATTTCAATTTTTTAAACACAATTTTTATATTAAGAACACAAGTTATATGGATATACTACTTCTAGGTTTATTACATACTAAGTTTCGAAACACATACAGGTAACGTTATCAAGTGAAATGATTCACAACCAAACAACACAATAGGTAAATCAACAGAAGCTATTGATTTACCTATATATCTTGTGCTGTTTTATATTAGTATTTCAACAGATGATTTCATACAAACCTTTATACTGAAATAAATCTTGATTAATCATTTCACAAAAACACAATTACAGATAAAATAAAAAACATTTCAATTTCATCAGTGAGACAGTTTTAAACATAACTACACGATTTAAGATGTCATTGCATTAAAAGGTTAGAGGGTGAAGATAGGTCCAAGAATTGTTCTTCATTCAAACCATGCAATTGTTTGATTTATTGATGTTTCTTATTAGAAATACCAGTACAAATTTTCTTGATTTTCAGGTTATTGTGTGGCTGTAGAAAATGTTGGAGAATCCTTGGCCCAGGATCAAGAAATATACTTCAGGCCTAATCTCAGATGAAGACCAAAATTAGACTTAAGTTTTCTTTACTTGGTAAAAAAAAATGTTTATATCATCAGTACTCAACCTATTTTGTTTTCTTCTGTAAACTACAATTTACATATTCTCAAAATATACAAAAAGGTTGAATTTTGACCTGTCTCACCTGTCATGAAGTGATATTAAACTAAGTGTAACAAAACATACAAACATTCAATATTCTAAATAAAATTATAAAACTAAAACTAAGGTGAACTTACCAACAATAATGATAATAATAACAACGATAACACTAATTAAAATAGCCCACATCTGAAATAATAAGTTTACAACATCTATGCTAACAAACTATATTTGTGAAAATTGAAAGCAAATATGTGCTGTTTGCAAAAAGGCAGAACTAAAAAAATAATCAACAATACTATAAATGCAAGATAGCTTGCCAAGGAAGGTAACATACGGTCAATACTAGCTGTCGGAAATGATAAAATCTTTATTGGCCTGATTATGAATTTTCAAATAATCTTTAAAATATTTATAAGTAAAGGCAAAACCTCAAAAACAGATTATCATCAAACTCAATCATCGGTGTACACACAAGGGCAATTACACTGAAACAGTTCATATGAATAATACCAATTTCAAACTAGACCGAAATCTCAATATATACATACATACCAAGTTCGATCAAGATTGGATCAAAACTGTAGTCTCTATCGAGCTTCCCAGCACGAAAAAAAAAAACTATGGGCAAAGACTTTTTAACGTTTATCTAAACTCTTTTCTGAGGATATATATATAGGCATGATACATTATAAGACTCCAACAAACTGAGTATCTCAATGGAAGTATTCTTATTAATACCTTAATCTACTACAGAAAACAGAGCAGATACCAAATTTATCTCCAAACTTGTCACAATTGAAAAATTAAACTATCTAGAGTCAATTTGATCATTAACACTGTCAGACAAGAACCGAAAAATAATATGTACTATATGAGTGTTATCTTATAGATGACAACATTTCAAACAGATCAATCTGCACAAAAAATTGTCCTTGTATTTTGTAGGTTGTAAGCAATCATTGTTTTTAACTGTTATGATATGCTACATTAAGTTTGTAATCAAAATATTTGCTGAATATATTCTACAAGAGATTAACTGTCCTCCCAGTTCACCAACACATGGCTTCCTGATTTGATTTGAAACAAAAAAAAGTGAAGAGCATAAAAAAATCCACATATTTCAATGGAAATCTATCAACAGGAAGATTAAATGCTGAGAATGCCTACGTACTTTCAATTCATATGCCGAATGCTGTTATTTCAGACCCTTGGTATCAGCTCTTAGACACTTCCCTCAACATCTACAATGGCTGTTTAAAGTTACAGAATTCTGGGCTTGGCAAAATGACAATTATGTGAAGAAAGAATAACTACATAAATATCCTACCATTTCAAAACCTAAATTGTTGAATATCAAATATCTGAAAAAAGTTCAGGAATATGATAAGATCACTAACAAAAACTTGTAAATAAACAGTCCAAGCTTAGAGAAGATACTTCTAAGGTTCATACAGATGTATTATTCACCAAATAACCTAATCAGCTTTCAGGAATCAAACCTTCGAGACAATCAATCTACAAGTTTACTTCTTGTTCTCGTGTTAAAAAATATAAACAACAGACCAAAATAAATACTGTTTAAGTGACAAGAATAAAATAAACAATCCTTGTGGTTGGAAATAAGACATTGACAACATATATAATAAAATAAACAAAATCTTGTATCATACATAATAATATGAACTAAATAGATTAACACAGTAGATTTCAACATCAACTACTCTAGTGGTAATATCAAACAGTGCAGTCAAAATAAAAGGTCAATCTCTACATAATACACTGAAATTATAGAGCACAATGACTGGAAACTCACCAATTATAATAATTATAATTACAGCCACTATTGATCCCAAAATAATCATCATCTGTAATGGCATTTATAATTCTAGTATACTAGTCAATTATTCTCACATTTTATTAACTACCACAACTTACCAAAACATTACTTTATAATTCTTAGAGCAATTCTACAATATCTTAATTAATAATACAGCTAAACAATGGGTAAATGGTAGAAAAATAAATAACATACACATCATCTTACACTAACTTGCAGTTAAACAATACAGCAACTGCTCGTATCAATATGTGAATTAATCTTTGAATCACCTGAATATTCATTGACTATCTTTAACCAATTATCAACTAAAGAAGTTTAACATTGTTGTTGGACCATTATATAATTTTTGGTATGTGACAACATTTTACTTGAGGTGATTCGAGTTAGAGTTAAGAATGTTGATTTTGTTATCAATCAATCAGTATTAATTGACTTGGGACAGGAGTAGAATTCTTACCTTACAATTTTTCCACCAATATTTTCGTTTGAGTTTACCAGCACTAGCCTCAAACTGAGAAGCACCAGCTTGTAATGCATCTATCAAATTTGAAAAGAAAGGTTAGATTAAGATAGTGGATCACTTCCTAATGTGCTCACTTTACTGTTGTATAGGAATGAAATAACATATACAATAATCTAATTCAAAAAAACATTTCAATTTGAGTGATTTAGTGAACAATGTACCTGCTCTGTCATCTAACTCTGATATTTTCTGATCTCTTTCCAAGACTTTATCAACATTTACCCTCATGATATCAACAACCTGTAATATAATTAACAAATTAATACACTAATCCAATTAAAAAAGATCTGGTTTGTTTGTGTTCGTTTCATTTACTACACTTGCCATCCATGATCTGTTGGCATTCTTCATTAAATTGTGTTCTGTTGATTTGACAAATTTGTTAAAAGTTGAATTCATTTTATCATAATATCCAAATTTGACAATCAAGAAGTATGCAAAATATCTTTGATTTCTTCTAAGACAATAAGCTATCTGGTTTTAAGGACAGTCTTCATTAGATCATTGGTTGAGAGATTCAGACTTTTGATAGTTGTTCCATCTGAAATCTTGTAACAGGCATCCACTTATGAGCAGTGCAATGTGTCGAACTTGTACCAGCGTTTGTCAAGAAATAATTACTTACTTAAGTCATAGAAGGCTATTGCTATTATAATTCATGTTACATAAATAGTTACCTCATCAACCTGTGCTTGAGTCTGTTGCATTCGCTTACTAGACATGTCACGAGGCGGTTGTCCTTCTGGAGCACCTGACCTTTAGAATAAAGACAAGAAAAAGTTGTTAACACTATGAAGTAATTAACATAAAGATAACATAACCATTTTTTCAATAATTTGCATTGTAGCCATGTCATGTAAATTATTTTGTGTCTCAAAATATTGAATTTTTCCATGAATTACTGGTATTTTATGTAACCTTTTTCATTAAACAATAGTTCTTAATAACTTATTAGGTCACACACGAGCTGTGATTACTATGGTATGTTTTTGCTTATTCAATGAACAATATTAATCTAACTAAGCTAGAGAAATAATTTTTTTAGTCTTGAAGTAGGTACTGTAAATTAAACAAATAAAACACAGACACACATGCTGAAATATTTAAAAAACAAAATGATCAATCATAAATGAAGCTTAATGATTTCAAAATGAAACAAAACTCCCTATGGAAAAAAAAGAAAAGTTACACATGCAAAATTACTGAGAGGCTGGTATGGAAATAATTGTTCACCTAAGTTTATATGTTAAATAGTAATATAAAATTTGCTACTGAGACTCTGTAGCTGAGTTATCATTCTGGTAATGCCCAACTAAATCTTCCTAAACATAATTTTTTGTATCTGATATCGAATTAAGTTTACTCTTTGGCCAATTTGTTTTCAGAATTGCATTTTGCCAATTTTATCAAAATATGACTTTGCAACATACCTCAATAAAGAGTGTTATCACTTATTACAAGATTCATGACTGCCACTATCATCTTTTTCGGTTGGTGGTCGACAAATTTCAGAAATCACAGATATGTACAATTAGACAAGAATGATAACTCTAGACAGTCCAAGCAACACTTCTCTAAAAACAAAATTATCTAAACTTAAAACATACTGACACTAGAATATATATATATGCCAAGAGAGATCATTGTACAATTAATAATGTCTTATTACTTACGGGGGTCCACCTGGACCAGCTTGTGGATTTTGAGGGCCAGACCTAATAACAACATATTATATTGATTATTATTTAAGCTTTTTTTGGAAGAGTAAGATGAATACAATAACTTTTTTATCGTAATATTCCATTTTTTAGCTTTATAAGCTTACACACTATTTTCAAAGTGACCAATGATAACTTCATTCTTGTACATTTTATAAGATAGTCACTGAATAAACTTGATGATGTGATGAGTAAGGACATTGCATTGAGACTATTCAAGATTTAATACCACAAAAGTTATCACTGGATCCGGATGTGCAAAAAAGCGCAAAAACTGTAGTTTGTCAGTGACAATATACATCCACGTAAGGAGATGTGGGTGTCAAAATAAATTGTTTAACACTTGGTAGATTAATGATTGTAATATTTGCAAGCAACAATTGAACTGGCAAGATAACAGAATATTAAAGTGAGAATATCACAGATATTTGAAATGAGACCTAAAATGAATTGATTGTAAAAGGTTTTGAGGTTTTGATATTCATGCAAGTAAATGTGGAGTTATAAAGCAAAATGAAGAAAAGTCCTTCTGTGCTGCTCGAGATGATGAATGTGGATGAGGAATTAAGACAACAAATTTGTCTGTTGAAAAGAAGAAAAACATTTTTCACCACAACCCTAAAAAAATCTCAAGCCTTTCCTAACAAGATACGCCCACTTCTGTGATACATTTTAAGTATATCAAGGGTGGTCATTAATAACTCAAATTCTGTTGATCGAAAAATAGTTAAATTCAAACTGATCTAAGACCTCATTGTAACACCAGATTTTAATTTTTCTATAGTGTTCACAAACAAATTATGTCCCGTTTTTACTAAGTCAAGGGCAATAACTAAAAAAATGGTCATTGAACGAACGTTAAATTCAAACATGTCCAAGATCTCATCAATATAAATGATCACACAAAATTCACAAAAATAAGAATAGATAAAAACTGTAATTTTTACTGTTTTCATTAGCCAATTGTGACGGACAGACAGGGGCAGCGACAATATACGACTACATTATAATGTGGGCATTTAAAAAGTGTACAACCAAATGTCCCAAATACTGTCTATTTGAAAAGCTCATTATCCACCAAATTTTACCTGATTTTAACTTCGGGAACAGCATGTTTGTCCCTGTAATCAATTATATATTTCAAGTCTAATAAGCTTACATACTTTATTTTAAATCTATTCCATAGTGATTAATCATAACAATAAGCAGACATTGACAATATGAAACAATTTTGGCATTATAGTATAGAATTGGCTTATAATAAGCTTTCAACTACCTACCATTTTAGGAAATAATCACAGGTAAGCTTCAAAGATTTCTGATTTAAATTTTCTTTCTGAGTTGCTGAGTTTGATTTGATATGATTTGTTCATTGTCATAAAGGCATACAAGAGAGCCTAAGGTTATCTAAATTATATAACTTCAATCGAATATGTAAGCTTATCAAACAAAACATTTATTGGCATACTTGAATATAAATTTGACACATGCATTGTACTGTATAGAGAGCTCTCACTTCTCCCCCAGACACCCTCACTCTGTTGTTTTAAAAGATCTTTGTGAAATCCATTTAATCACATTTTCTCTACTTTGTTGTCTTTATTCTAGGAATGTTTTCTTTCTGACAGCTATGGTTTTGTAGCTAAGCATTTTTTTTAATAAAGAAACACAAAAAAAAAAACCTGGTATGTCTCAACCTTTTTTTCCATAAATTATATGTTCATCAATTACTACAATATTAACTGGTCCTGTTCATCCGTTCATTAGTATCATATATAACATAACTATTATGTAAGGCATAGCACATTTCAACTTGTAGTTACTGCTTCACAAAATAACAATTGGCGCTATTATTTTGAGTCATTCCTCGATGATCAAAATTTTGATTTGTTGATACTTCAATTCAATTGATTTGTTCCAGTAAATTTGTACCACAGAAGACAATTTGGCCGCCTTTTCATGTAGTCGTCGATTCGAGCTGTCAAGTTAGCCGCCAATTCAAAATAGTGATACTAACTCGCCCAACCGATCAAATATTCATTAACCAATCACTGCCATGGATACATGATATAAAATCAAAGTAGATCTACAAATAGTATATTAGTTTTCGACTTTTCTGAAAATCTACACTTATAGACATATTGCAGCTCAAATTATGGCCTATCGTACAAAATTCTCAATATTGAGACTTATATGTTTCAAAAGGGAATTAAATGAGCTTTCATAAAATCTAGGTTAAAAAGATTTTTTAAAAAGTCAAAGACTGTATATATTTCAGAGTGTGGTAGCCACCCTTTAATATGAACGTGCCAGGTTTTAACCTAGTTTTTATGAAAGCTCATTCAATGCCATTTTGAAACATATAAGTCTCAATATTGAGAATTTTGTAGGATGGGCCGTTATTTTAGCCTGAAAATGTTTAAAAATGAAAATTTATAAAAAGTGGAAAACTGTATAGATTTCAGAGTGAGACAGCTACCATTTAATATGAATGTGCCAGGTTTTAACCTAGATTTTATGAAAGCTCATTCAATGCACTTTTGAAACATATAAGTCTCAATATTGAGAATTTTGTACGATGGTACGGAATTTTAGCCCGAAAATGTCTTCAAGTGAATATTTTTCAAAAAGTCAAAAACTGTATATATTTCAGAGTGAGATGGCTACCCTTTAATATGAATGTGCCAGGTTTTAACCTAGATTTTATGTAAGCTCATTTAATACCCTTTTTAAATATGTAAGACTCAATGTTGAAAATATTGTACGATGGGTCGTAATTTGTGCCCGAATTTTAGATTTATTTTTTTTAGATTATTTGCCTTATGTACTATTTTTAGATCTACTTTCATTTTATATTATGTATCCATGGCAGTGATTGGTTAAGGAATATTTCTACGTTTTAGCGAGTTAGTATCACTATTTTAAATTAGCGGCTACTAAAGGGCAGGTAACTTGACAGCTCGAATCAACGGCTATATGAAAAGGCGGCCAAATTGTCTTCAAGATTTGTACCCAACCTTCTCTTTACACATTCGTTGGTAAACCAACGAAACCAAATATAAATTTGAAAATCTGCATCAAAATAGGCTAGTAAATAATCACAACTTTGTTTTCACAGAGACCAATCAGTAGCCAAAATTTGGGACTCATATTTGTCATCATTCTGATCACAAAGCAATATTTAAGCCTATGTCTACTAATAGTACTAATAGTAAGTGTAGGCTAGTCTAGATCCTACCTAATGTATTTGGCAACAAGCTTCTAAAATTCAAAATAGACAAAAAGGATAACAAACACCACCAGCAAAATGAGCCCAGTGACACATTTTAAAAATGCTGGAGGAATAACAGGAATTATAAGAGCTTAATAATATAAGATACGAATATGAAATATGATGTGGCTATTTCTTCGACCAATAAAAGAAAGACTACATAGTACAGCAAGCAGGAAATGGGTCATTCCTGCAGATTGGTAAAAATAAGAGACATATTTTGTGTGGGAAAATTGATACAAAAAGCAGCAAAATCATGGAGGAAGACACGACGACCTCGCAAATCATTAAGATCAATCCCTGAGCTACTTACATTTTGATTGTACACCTCAAATTTTACGTCCCTTTACAAAATATCAGATGTTAATGACTCAATCGTCTAGCCAACAGCTCACAACAAGATGGTGGATGAATCGAGTGTGATGTCATCATCCGGGCACCTGCATAATAAACATACCACTATGACAGATGTCAAATCGAAAGTAGCCAAACTATCGATCGTTGGTTTGTAAGCTTAGTATGTGTCTGAGAAGCCAAATTTAAACTTATATTGCGTGGGAGAAAATTTCTTGATATGGAATAAGTGAGCTCACAGTCCATAAGAACACTTAAAAAGAGACAATTATACGTATGACTCGCAAAGTAGGATAGTCCAGATGTGTGTAGTAGGTTAAATTAATCTAAGAATCAGCCTATTGGCATGTGACATATTGAATACAAATCCATGCAGTGTGCTATCAGAAATTTTGTCAAGGCAGCAAGA